AAAAAAAAAAAAAATGACATGAGAAAAACATTGTTTTACAAACCTAAAGATTTGATAAACAAATTTGATAATTTGCATATGAAAGCATTGTAATGTTTACTGATAATCTGCCAAATTTCGTTAACATTCACTCACTAATTAAAAAGTTATAGCATGAAAACTATAACAAGCACAAAATGGTTACAACTGAGCCCTTGCTGAAAGATTTAATGTAAATAAGCCATCATTCAATTTATTTGGTTATTTCTCTAAATTGAGTGTTGTAACAAGCAAAAAACATAAAATTATTCAATATGTTGTAATGAAAACAAGTTGGTTGGAAATCTCACAGTTTATTTAGCAAACCATTAATTTTTCAATATTATTACACGACGATCTCTCTGGATACTCAGGGCAAGTCTGAGGGCTTATAGTGCTGAAAATAATGTTTTGATACGGGCAGTGCACAGATAAATCATTGTGCAGCTTTGTGCTTAACAACAAACAAAATTAATTTCTCTGTGTTGTTCTTTCTTTCTGGTTATTTCTTTCCATTCATTTTCAAAAGAATTGTAGTTCGTATTTTAGTTTATAAAAAATCTCTAGTCAGGTTTTACTTGTAGAAGTAAAAATATCAGGACTTTTCACAGCACAATTATTTTTTACTTGTGAGCAATGTAATTAGAAGATATTTTATGCAAGTTCATGTGCATACCAGGGAGTTCATGTGCATACCAGGGATTATTCAGGGTTATAAATATTTTTATAAATTTGTCTAAGTTTCAGTGAAAATGGTTTGTAAAATTGTTAATTTTTTGTCAATCATTTCAACCAAAGTTCGGTACATTCTGTATTCAGTGTGTGTGAGTTAAATGTTTGTCACAGAGGTCAACTTACATTTTTTTTAAGATTAATAAGTGAAACGATCTTAAAGTAAGAAAACGAACAAGAATGCGAAACTTTTTACCAAACAATAGATAGGTAAAATGGTCAACATTTCACACCACAATCTGATTTTATCATGCAATAGTAGTCACCAACTATCATTCATAAACTGCACTGATAGACTCTTTTGGGCAATACTAAACATTAGTTATCACTGACTGTTGGATTTTCTCTTACTTTTATGATTCTGTAAACCTCTTTCAAAATCAGCTTTCCCTGTGGTATCTGTTGGAGTTATTTAACTGTAGTGTGTGTGCTCAGGTCCCTGTGGTATCTGTTGGAGTTACTTATCTGTAGTGTGTGTGTGTGTGCTCAGGTCCCTGTGGCATCTGTTGGAGTTATTTAACTGTAGTGTGTGTGCTCAGGTCCCTGTGGTATCTGTTGGAGTTACTTATCTGTAGTGTGTGTGTGTGTGCTCAGGTCCTTGTGGCATCTGTTGGAGTTAGTCATCTGTAGTGTGTGTGCTCAGGTCCCTGTGGCATCTGTTGGAGTTACTCATCTGTAGGAGTTACTCATCTGTAGTGTGTGTGTGATCAGGTCCCTGTGGCATCTGTTGGAGTTACTCATCTGTAGTGTGTGTGTGATCAGGT